AGCCCACCGGAGGATTTGTGGGTTTGGGAAAATTAAAATTAGGCAAATTCTCAGCAAGCAAATATCAACTAGAACTCGATCTTTCCATTGTCATTCAGTTGGAATTATGAAAGGAGTTAGATTGGGGGGTTGAGTAAAAAAATGATGCCAAAGTTAAGTGAGACTCAGGCTGCAATCGGGTTGGATTATGATGGGATCCAGCTACATTCGAGTCGAATCAGATTTAAGAAAAAAAATCAAATTTAAATCTGAATGGATTTAGGGGTCTTAGATTCAGATTCAGATCCTATTGGGTTCTCTATTTAATCCAAGATTCCAATTCCATGTTAGTATGTTTAGAATGAAAAAGAATTAAAGTCCCGTTTGCTTTTTGATAAGTTACTTATTCAGGTAAATGCATTTACCGATGTTCTTTTATTTCCTAGGTAAATAAACATAATGACCGTTTTAGCCTTAAAAATTCTATTATCAAAAGGGGTATTTTTGATCCATCCAAGTGTTGACAACTTTTCCCTAAATGGGAAAGTTAATTTACCCACCTAGGGGATAAGTATCACTTAAGTGATAACCAGGAAAATAAACTTTCCCCCTCTCAAAACCCCAAAAACGAACACCCCTTAAGGCTTTATTTGCTTTTTTTACAAATGAGAGGAATTGGTCAGTGGGAAAGTTATTTTCATTGACCAACAATTTTGTGTTCGTTTGTTGTTATTGGTGAGTCTCACGGATAAGCATGTTTTTCATGGGTGCCACTTTACCCAGAGTAAGTGATTCCCATCTCTTATTTGGGCAAATTAAATGAACTTTCTCAGGTGGAGACCAATAATTGTAAAATTTTTGGATTGAAAATTTCCCTACTAAATGAACTTAGGTAAATCTTATGTAAAATAACATGTATAAACTTGCTTACCCAAGTAAGTGTTACCTAGAAAACACTTAGGCCATGTTCCCTTTTTGGTAAGTTATTTACCTGAGTAAGTGCATTTACCCATGTTCTATTTCCCAGGTAAATAAGGCAATGGTCATTTTAGCCATAAAAATCTATTATTAAAAGGGTCATTTTTGTTCCATTCAAGTTTTAGTGGCTTCTCCCCCTTGTGAGAAAGTTATTTACCCACATAAGAGATGTGTATCACTTACTTAGGAAAATAAACTTTCCCTAATCCCCACATAAATCTAAAAAAAGAACATGAGTTTCTTGGTCAATGGGAATCAGAATCCCATTGACCAACTTCCCCCATCTCAAAACCCAAAAATAGAATGCCCCCTTAAAGGCAAATGAACACATTTACCTAGGTAAGTGAGATACCAACAAACTAACAGGGATTAAAAGATTGTAAATAAATAATCACTTTTTAACTTATATATATTGAATACATTTATAAGGATATGGATTAATTGATTATTAATCAATCTTTTAACTCATACATGCACAAGCCAACTATAACAGTAGATGAAGATCTAACTAAAACAAGATATTTATATTTGAATTCTTTTATCCCTTTAGGCTGCGTTTGGAAACGATGCAAATGGAGTATAAATCCCAGTTCAAGGTAAATTTGCACTTTGGTTCACTTTTGCTTGTGTTTGACAATATTACATTTATGCATTGACAAATGACATAAAACACATTTTCCAATGCATATTTACATTGATAATAAGATGTAAAAGTACATCAATAAAAAAGAAGTCAATTTGCATTCAAGTGGAGTTTTGATAAAAAAAAAGGCATATGCTTTATTGGAATTCATGTTTGCATCCATAATAACTAAAAGCATGTTTATAAAAAGGTAAATTTGTCAATGCAAAACTCACCCAACTTTACAATTTATATAAACCATTTTACACTATACATATTTGTATTCACACTTATTTGCATCGTTTCCAAACATAGCCTTAGATACCTATTATTGGTACCTCTAAAATTATATACTTCTTTAGTTTGTATTTTCAAGAGTAGATTGTAGGTTAGTGGAATGCTATTTTATGTGCTAAAGTCTTAGAACAAACAACCAGTACAATAGTCTGTCCATACTCTATAGTCTATATGAATAGTATTGGGACATGTCATTTCTTGAGATGGTATTGAGAACAATCATTTTGAATGCCATAAGGTGCTCCAGCTTGGCAATCTCTCTCTCTCTCGGAGCTGAAATTTGATGCCCTGTGACCTACCTAGTTGCTATAGCCTATGTTTATACTTGGGTGGTAAATTTTTTATTTCTATATCCTGTTGGTTCTGTTATTTATTTTTTACAAGGGACACAAACATGCCACAGTTTGTAAGAAAAGGTGTATCTAAAGAAGTGGGCTACCACCCAAGCCTTGAATCTCAATTCAAATCAAACCATCTCAAGTGGTTCTCGTAGTACATTACAATGACAACATGCCACAGTTGAATTTTCAGAGAAAAAACCTAGAGTTCAGGTTGGATTTCAATTCATCCTGTTGTCAAAAGAAATTGGATTGAGGTGATGCGTAGATGTTCTTGTCCACTTGTAGAGAGTGGTGTTGGACACCTGGACCCCATGATACAGCCACCATTTCCTGAAGTTGAAGTTGAATTGGGACACATAAGATAACAATATTTTATACTGGTTAAGAATAATACACAATAGGAAAAAAAACACCCACAGGGTAAAGACAATGGAGTGGGATAATGAGGGTCACATGTAAGCATTTTAGTGTTTACTATTTGATTTTAGTCCCCATTAGTATCAGAAGAGAGAGAGAGAGAAGTTTTCTCTTTTTGACATGTTCTAGGTCACTTTCTTTTCCCCAAATTTAGCAGTTTATCTACCAATCAGGAGAAGAATTATTGTTGGTTAATAGTTAAGCTTATTACTTATATAACTAAAAAGATTTTTTAGTGTTTCATAGAGTTAGGAAAGTCCCACTCCACAAATCACTACATTTTTTTCTTCCTTTTCTTTTGATTCTTAATTCACAAGTTTTTATTGCAAGTCTTGACCCTAACCCATTGTAAATTGACCATAATAACCTTTTTATTCAATACATTATTAGGTACGTATTAGCAGTGTTGCCCAGAGTCTGAACCGTTTTTTTTTTTTTATTTGGTTAATGAGTCAGCGGTTTACCCAACTGGATCAATGGGTCAACCCATGACATCATTAATATAAACAAATTTAAAAAAATAAAAATCCAAATAATCCGCTGAATGGGTATGACAGATCAATAATCAATCATTAGGGTTGAAAGGCCATTGACTGAATCAACCGGTTTTTGTAACTTACTAGAGGTTGACCCAAACCGGGATTGTGATCAGGTCATTCGTTTCATCAATTGGGTCAACAATGGATTGAAAACACTGATTAATACCTTGAAACTAATTTAATTTTATTTACCAAAAAAATCCAATTATGAATAATATCCTAAAGAGGAAAAAAATTTGGCATATTTTTACATGTAAATATATTTATAATCTATTAATGTATTGATATTTTATATTACAAAATGAATTAAAGATAATAAATTAAGATGTTCAAATATTGTAAATACTTTGCTCTGGACCCAATTCAAAATAAAAAAAAAAAATAAAAAGATCCACATCCTCTTACTAGACAACGAATTTGTGCTACGCCTATATAATAGACAGAAACTCAACCCTTTGTACAGGTGTGCGTACAATTGTACCCCTCACTCGAGACAAAGAATCAATCCTGGAACTGGAAGAAAGAGAATAGAACAAGAAAAGCGAAAAGAGAGAGGGCATAGGTGTCACTTTCCAGTATCTCAACTTGCAGTGGCAATTGCGTAAATATATGACAATAGACGTTAATTAATTTGTGGAATTCCCTTGTTTTTATTGGAGAAAAACCCAACACCTCTGAGGAATTGCAGAAGAGAAGAGTAGGATAAGCCCACACTGTTTAAACGGAAATGGTTATGATCTTTCTTTGAGCTCCAACGGTAGATAAAGCGGGAGTCTAGCTTCATTTGTTAACTTATTATTTTCTTTGCAATTTCATCAATAGTTTTGATTATTCGATGGAGTAACTAACCAATTAATCTCTGCAACTCCGGAGAATTTGCAGTACAAGTTGTTGAAGATCCCTGTTTTTTTACTATTGTTCTTGTTGCTTCCCTGAATTTTTAATCCGAATTGGAGCGAGGGCAAGCTGGATTTGAAGCTTTTCAAATTCCAGAGGCGTGATTAAAGTGGCCTCCACTAATTAGAGTTTCAGATCTCTAATTAATGTGAAGCTTTTCCGGGTTTCCTGTTAGAATCTGACAGTACTGTCTTCTGACTCTCTCGTCACTCTCTTTTTAACTGCCTAAACATGGACCAGATTGTTTTCCAACTTTAATTAAAAGCTAAAACCGACAAATTCGCTGTCATTTGTGTATTAATGGCGAAACTGAAGTAGGGTAAGGATTGATGACTTTGGAACGTAGAGTGAAAAAAAAATGTGGTGGAAGTATGAATTTCTTTTGACATAATAGTGTAATTCTGACCTGAGTCTTTTATTGGGCGCCGATAATTACCAACAAAAATCGTGGGAAATTTGTTCTGACAAAATTAAGTTGAATTCCAGTGTTTCATACGAGCATCAATTAACCAATTATGGCTGGATAGATGGGTGCTGTTTTCTCTGACAGGGTTGATGAATTTCTTTACTACAGATCGTAGGAGAAAATAGTCTTTGGTAAAAAATGATGGGGAAATGTGCAATTTTAGCGGAGCCGCTAAATCCAAGGGTTCATCTCTTCTAAGTAAAATACTAGCGGAATTCTATCCTTGATTTCTCGCTACATAAATTTCTCGTTCTTCTACGTCCGCAACTGGTAATTTGGACAAGTGTGAAAATAGTAAAAATGTCCCAGGGAATTCATCATCTCTCAGTCGATTGCCTCCGTAAATTATCTGTCAGAAAGTTAAATGAATCGATCCATGAGAAAGTAGCTTCTTCTTATTCTATCTGGATTGATAGAAAGAAGCCATTGAAAAGCTTAGAGAAAGAGAACATTTTTCAGGAAGTGCGGACCGTTTTGGTTCATTGTGTGTTGGTATCTTTAAGCTTTTGTTGTACGAAAGACGCGGATTTACAGGAAACGGAAAGTAGGAGACAGACCGTGAGGTGTGGTTGGGTTGAATTTTCTCGTGATCGTTTACTGTTTCTACTTGCAGAGGAAGCCAATTCTTTTTTTTTTCTTTCTTTTTTTCCCCATAATTCTGATCTCTCTCTCTCATCTGTTTTGGTCAAAACTTCATTATCAAGTTTTCAGTTTTCACACTCGAATATTTTTTGTCGGGGAAAAGTTTCTCCGCTTCTCTTATAAAACTCCTCTCTTCTTACCATCTGTCGTTTTATCTGATTCACAGAAGAAAAACTGAATGAGACGAAAGTATCAACTGTAGAAACCCTTCTCACTCACTCGACGCGGAGATACGTGCAAATACGAAGAAGAGAGAATAAAAACAGGGAAAAAAAAGAAAAGGTGATAAAAAAGTTGCAAAAGAAACAGAACTCAAGAGAGAAAAACAGAGAAGAGTGAAGAGAGAGTATCGAGAGGAGAGAGAAAATAAAGAGGGGGTCTGCTTTTAAAGCAGGAATTTTGTAATGTCAAAAGATTCTGAGGAGATAAAGACGGTTGAGCAGTGGACATGGCCGGAAATGCAGGGTCTGGAGCTCGTGTCTGCTGAGACAAGTGAATTTAAAGGAGAAGTAGAACCGACGCAGATAAAACCCAAGGTAGCCCAGGAGGTAGAGACTAGAGTAGTCCAGGATAGTGAGGATAGAGGACAGAAGGGGAAAATGGAGCCTTCTGAGGGGAAGAAGGATACTGAGGAAAAGTCTGGTCGAACTCCTCCTTCGGTGGGTTTTCGAGAGCTCCTTAGATTTGCAGATGGGTTGGATTGTGTTTTAATGGCCATTGGTTCGACTGGAGCAATCATTCATGGCTGCTCCTTGCCATTGTTTCTTCGTTTCTTTGCCGATCTTGTGAATTCTTTCGGGTCGAATGCTAACGATCAGGATAAGATGGTGCAAGAAGTTGTGAAGGTAAGGATGACCGAAGACTCGGTATTTACGAAACAAAGCGTTTTCATTGGTTTTGTGAAGAGACAAAAATGAAAACCCATTTAAATTTAAATTTTCGCTGCTTGAACTTGCAGTATGCATTCTACTTTCTTGTGGTAGGAGCAGCAATTTGGACATCTTCGTGGGCAGGTGAGCACTCTCTGTGACTGAATACGTTCTTTGTTATTATCTTATTCTGTTTTGATGCTCTTCGGCTTTAACTTCAGCTGCTGTTTTAGCTTCGGTTGTAATTGGATGGAGTCGAAATGCTTGCAGAGATATCATGTTGGATGTGGACGGGAGAGAGGCAATCGACCAAGATGAGGATCAAGTACCTTGAAGCTGCTTTGAACCAGGATGTACAGTTCTTCGATACACAGGTTCGAACTTCTGATGTCGTTTTCGCCATCAATACAGACGCCGTGCTGGTCCAAGATGCCATTAGCGAGAAGGTAAGGGAAATCCACGTTTAAATATACATTGCTTCTTCCCTTAAATTGAGCTCCGACTGAGCTGAGTTTCCTTCCTTGTGCAGTTGGGTAACTTCTTGCATTACCTTGCGACATTTGTGTCTGGATTTGTGGTAGGTTTCACTGCAGTGTGGCAGCTAGCCCTTGTCACACTTGCTATCGTTCCTATCATCGCTTTAATTGGAGCCATCCACACTACCACATTGGCCAAGCTCTCTTCAAAGAGCCAGGAAGCTCTTTCCCAAGCAGGAAATATAGCAGAACAGGTAAAGGAATACAGAAGTTTTTTTTTTTTTTGAGGTTTCAATATTTAGCATTTGAATACTGGAAGAAAACAGAGCACATCAATTAGTTACGAACTGTTGAATATTTGCATCTGGGTATTACTGATTTCAAGCGAAACCACAGACTATAGTTCAAATACGGACGGTTCTTTCCTTTGTTGGTGAATCGAGAGCATTAGAAGCTTACTCATCAGCGTTACGGGTGGCTCAGAAGCTTGGTTACAAGAGCGGATTCGCAAAAGGAATAGGACTTGGGGCCACATATTTCACCGTTTTCTGCTGTTATGCCCTTCTTCTGTGGTATGGGGGTTATCTGGTTAGACATCATTTTACCAATGGAGGACTTGCCATAGCCACCATGTTCTCGGTTATGATAGGTGGACTGTAAGTGTTCAATCAGATTTCCTCTTTAAGCACATACCATTGCATTAAGTATTGTTTTTCAAAACAGTATTTGATTGACAGGGCTCTGGGACAGTCCGCTCCGAGCATGACTGCATTCACTAAGGCAAAAGTTGCGGCTGCAAAGATCTTTCACATTATTGATCATAAACCAGGAATCGATCGGAACACAGAATCTGGTTTAGAGTTGGAATCAGTCTCAGGCCAGGTGGAGCTTAAGAATGTTGATTTCTCATATCCATCCAGGCCAGATGTTTGTATCCTTTCCAATTTCTCCCTGAATGTTCCGGCAGGGAAGACCATAGCATTGGTGGGAAGCAGTGGCTCTGGCAAGAGCACTGTTGTCTCCCTCATTGAGAGATTCTATGATCCTACTTCAGGTAAGTAGTCCAAAATTTTATCTGTAGTTCAGTAAAGTGTAAATTAAAAAGGCTTCGTTGAATCAAATATAACTAGACTGTCAAAGAAGACATTTCTGTTCAGTGTTCACGAGTCTCTGTGTGTTGAAAGGCTCTGTTATTGGATCTGCACAGGGCAAGTTTTGCTAGATGGGCGTGACATAAAGACACTCAAGTTGAGATGGCTGAGGCAACAGATAGGGCTTGTGAGCCAAGAGCCCGCTTTGTTTGCAACCACAATTAAAGAAAACATGCTCTTGGGTAGGCCTGATGCGACCCAAGTTGAGATGGAAGAGGCTGCCAGAGTTGCTAATGCCCATTCATTTATAGTCAAGCTTCCTGAAGGCTATGACACTCTGGTAAGTGTAACCTTGTCAATAGCCTAGGTTAACGTTGATAACATTTGAATTTAAATATCTCACCCCTACAGCCTACAAGCACAGTATTCAGGATAACAAGGAACAGAATGGAATGGAGACCCTAATCAAATTGCTCCATGTTTCCTCCTAAAAGGGATCGCCATTCACCAATCAAGGCGAAAAATAAAAGCACTCTGAATGAACCGTCAGAACACATTGGTTTGGCTTTGACCTTCGGATGAGTTTGGTACTTGGTAGGTCCACATCCTCCCCTGATGTGGTCCAACCCAATTCTGTGTTCATATATGGTCGTCTTAATAATCAGAGATGTTCAAATGCATATACTATAAATTTATAATACGCATGTTCTTTGTGCAGTTTCAGGGGTAGACTTGTCATTTTCTTGGAAGTTTTTCTTTGTTAAATGATCCGTCCAGTCAACCAGAGACTTTAACTCTCTTTTATTAAGTCAGTGATTTCAGACTGTCTGGTCTCTGGCTTAAAACAAGGTCACATGGTTTCAGTTAACAATACATGTGGAGAAATCAAACAGGGTTTATTTATTCCTGTTGGCAATGAATGTTCAGACAACAGTAGAAAATGAAGAACATTTAACTTAGTTGGTCGCAATTTTATATATATTACATTATTACTTGATTAATAATGAAAATAACAAACACGAGAATTAGTGTTAGAAGCAGTAGAATATCATTAATATTGTGGCAAATAAAGAATGGAATTAAACAAATATTTTGAGAATGGCAGGTGGGGGAGAGAGGGTTGCAACTCTCAGGAGGCCAGAAGCAGAGGATAGCCATAGCAAGGGCAATGCTGAAGAACCCAGCAATCCTACTCTTGGATGAGGCAACAAGCGCCCTGGATTCAGAGTCAGAGAAGCTGGTGCAGGAAGCCCTTGACCGGTTCATGATAGGGAGGACAACTCTGGTCATTGCCCACCGGTTATCTACCATCCGCAAGGCTGACCTCGTTGCTGTCCTCCAGCAAGGCAGTGCCTCTGAAATTGGGACTCACGATGAGCTCATTGCCAAGGGCGAAAATGGTGTCTATGCTAAACTCATCCGAATGCAAGAAATGGCTCATGAAACTGCTCTTAACAATGCCAGAAAAAGTAGTGCAAGGTAGTTTCTACACATTTCATTTCTGAAACGATTTTGCTTTTGATAAATTTGTGCTGCTGATTATGAGCTTTTTTCACTGCAAGTGCAAGTGCATTTTTTTAGTGGAACTTTTCAGTAAAACATAGTTCTTCTTTGTCAGACCTTCTAGTGCCAGAAACTCTGTAAGCTCGCCCATAATTGCCAGAAATTCATCATATAGTCGATCTCCATACTCACGCCGACTCTCTGACTTCTCCACCTCTGACTTTAGTTTCTCAGTTGATGCCTCCCATCCCAATTACCGGATGGAGAAGCTTGCCTTCAAAGAACAAGCCAGCTCCTTCTGGCGCCTTGCCAAGATGAATTCTCCTGAATGGGCCTATGCTTTGGTTGGCTCTGTTGGTTCGGTCGTCTGTGGATCGATAAGTGCTCTCTTTGCTTACGTCCTCAGTGCCGTCCTTAGCGTCTACTACAACCCAGATCATGCTTACATGAGTCGAGAGATTGGGAAGTATTGCTATCTTCTGATTGGAGTCTCATCGGCAGTTCTTCTCTTCAACACACTACAACATTTCTTTTGGGATGTTGTGGGAGAGAATCTCACGAAACGGGTGCGGGAGAAGATGCTGAAGGCTGTACTGAAGAACGAAATTGCATGGTTTGACCGTGAGGAGAACGAGAGTGCGAGGATTGCAGCAAGGCTGGCTCTTGATGCCAACAATGTCCGATCAGCAATTGGAGACAGGATTTCAGTTATCATGCAAAATTCAGCCCTCATGCTCGTTGCTTGCACAGCTGGGTTCATTCTGCAGTGGCGACTTTCCCTCGTCCTCATTGCTGTATTCCCCGTTGTTGTTGCTGCCACCGTTTTGCAGGTAATGGACAATTCAAATAAATAGATTTCCTCGACGCGTTCTGCTGCAAATTATATTGTATTAATACAAAAGATGCAATGAACTATTCCATCTGTTTATTTATGGCCGCAGAAAATGTTCATGAAAGGCTTCTCGGGTGACTTGGAAGCTGCTCATGCCAAGGCAACGCAGTTAGCAGGCGAGGCTGTGGCAAATGTCAGAACTGTTGCCGCATTCAATTCAGAGGCAAACATAGTCGGCCTCTTCTCCTCCAGCCTCGACTCACCCCTGAGACGCTGTTTTTGGAAGGGACAGATTGCTGGAAGTTGCTACGGAGTAGCACAGTTCTTACTCTATGCCTCGTATGCTCTTGGATTATGGTATGCGTCCTGGCTGGTGAAGCACGGTATCTCTGATTTCTCAAAAACAATCAGAGTGTTCATGGTCCTCATGGTGTCTGCCAATGGCGCGGCTGAGACGCTCACTCTCGCTCCTGACTTCATCAAGGGTGGTCGTGCCATGCGCTCAGTCTTCGACCTCCTTGATCGTAAGACAGAAATTGAACCAGATGACCCTGATTTTACACCTGCACCAGACAGCCTAAAAGGTGAAGTCGAATTCAAGCATGTCGATTTTGCCTACCCATCCCGCCCTGACGTGCAAGTCTTCCAAGACCTCAGCCTACGTGCCCGAGCGGGCAAAACACTCGCCCTTGTTGGTCCAAGTGGGTGTGGCAAGAGCTCTGTTATTGCGCTTGTGCAACGATTCTATGACCCATCATCAGGTAGGGTGCTGATCGATGGAAAGGACGTAAGGAAATACAATCTCAAGTCCTTAAGAAGGCATATGGCGCTGGTCCCTCAAGAGCCTTGCCTCTTCGCTGCCACCATACATGACAACATTGCCTATGGGCGCGATTCCGTAACTGAGGCTGAGGTAATCGAGGCTGCAACCCTGGCAAATGCTCACAAGTTCATCTCGTCTCTGCCAGACGGTTACGGCACCTGGGTTGGCGAGCGGGGGGTTCAATTGTCGGGAGGCCAGAGGCAAAGGATAGCCATAGCCCGGGCTTTCATTCGGAAAGCAGAGGTTATGCTGCTTGACGAGGCCACGAGCGCACTAGATACCGAGTCGGAGAAATGCATCCAGGAGGCCCTCGAACGTGCTTGTTCGGGGAGGACAACAATCGTGGTTGCACATCGGCTGTCAACGATAAGGAATGCCCATGTGATCGCTGTGATCGACGATGGGAAGGTGGCGGAACAAGGGTCTCACTCGCATCTCCTGAACCATTACCCTGATGGGTGTTACGCCCGCATGATTCAATTGCAAAGGTTTTCACACTGACAGGTTATAGCAATGGCGCCAGGCTCAACTTCTTCAGCACGCGCCAAGATGATCAGCAGAGAAGCCTTTTGAAGGGGAAAGAAAACACGAATTTCAGGCGTAACCTTTTTCCCGGGGGGCTTTTGCCTTTTAGTGAAGTATCTGATTGATATAATGCAAACCGTATTTCTCTTCCTCTTCTTTCCTACAAAAGTTTTGTTTTCTTCGATGTTCATTGTTAAAAGGAAAATAACAAAACGTTAATGGAAGAATTAATCTCAGAAAAAGGCACGTCCCCTCATCGGCTCGTGTTCGACTAAAATCCTTGTCGAAACCCCCTATCACCAATTCACTTCACTTTACAATGGAATCCAGCAGTCTCCAATTTCATGTTCTTAGCATGAAAATGTAAAAGACAGGATTAATTCAGTGATCAGTTCATCAGCATGACCGACCTTATTTGGAGATTGCAGGCTCAATGACAAATAACACAAAGTTGATTTACACGCACGCATATATTCTTCAAGAACCTAAAGAAAACCTATTTCAGTTCTGGGTCAAAAGACAGATTTACATGAGAAGACATAGAAACGAAGGGAATTTATTACGTACACGTTGTCACTGTTGTTTTACATTGGAAAAGGACCACAACTAGCCCAGTGGCAGACGTGGTAATGGCACAATGCGCAGAGTAAAAAATCAAGGTTAGAACAAACCACGGAGCCCTGTATTAGCTAGGATTTTGGTTAAGCTACTGGAACTGGTTAAGCAAACCACGGAGCCCTGCCTCAAGAAAGAAAGAAAGGAGGCAGCTTCGGCTGTGATGGTTAAGCTACTGGAACTGGCACATGTTGAAACACCCGATCCCGATTCCCGAATGAAAAGCTTGGATCAAATAAAGGGAGCGTCCGAGTAAGAACAGAACTCCCTAGTCCCTAGTGATGGTGCTCGTGGTGAGTAGGTGTGAAAGAGAGACCCAATGGGGGATGGGAAAAGAGTATACGATTACATTTGTAGCTTAGGAGACAACAGCTTTGGAGGATGTGTACCTTGCGGGAGCACTCTTTTACGTCATTCAACGATTACGAAGGGTATGGTTGGTCATGAGTCATTCGACAATTGCTACCGGAGGTTGATGAACCACCCACAGATTTCCACATACATTACCGTATTTTGAATAGATCATCTGAAAACCGACGTCCACTTTCCAACAAGCATCAATGAGACACTTGTCGAATGGATGCTGCATCACGATTCACGAGACAATTGCAGAGGGAATTCTAGCTTACAGAATTTATGAAAATTGTAATTGATAATTGGTTTTCTTGCATTAGTAAATGTAAAACAAATAAGGCAAGGAAGGTGCAGGTCAATCCCAAGTTCCCAACCTCAATACAGCATCATTACGTGTTTAACATTGTTATATGGTGGTGCACATGTAAGAAACAGCCGATTTCTGGGGCATTTCACCATGAAAATTATTTCAAAAAGCAAACCAAGAGCCCTAGCTACCACCTACCAAGATCCAAATAAATTGTCTTCACATTTTGTCATAGTGGTCCTATGTGGTAAATCATCAAATGTTTCATCCCTTCAGCTTTTAGTTGTGTTAATGCACCTGGCATCGTTTGATAATAAATGTAGAGATTTTGATATCATTTGGTAATTAATGTACAGGTTACCAAATAAGGGAAGACTTCACAAGGTGAACAACAATGAGATAAATGATTGCACTCCGCTTTGCAAAATGAGGACCTAATATGTATCAACTTTTAAGAAAATTTGGGCGAGTAGAGCCAGTTACTGAATGGACAAAAATCTATCAGCTAGAGAGGCTGATTTCTTTAACTGCAATAAAAGTTAGGTGGCTCACATGGACATTAGCTTTGGACCATTGTCAGGCATCCCCATCCCCGCAGCTAGGTCAGCATCCAGTTGAGTATGTGGTGCAGGTCCCATCATTTGCTTCACACTGCATAATCACCAAACCAATTTATCAGTCAAATATAAACCCATTACTGCTGATAACATGCAATACATGAGAGATGCATCAATTGAGTCCCAGATAAGACTATCAATAACTATTTCCCCCATAAATAAAGGAATCCGAGGGGCTTACCATCCCATCTCAAGGGAGACGTGTCAAAACCCAAGAGCAGAAAAGTTTATAATTAAAACCCAATCAGGAGTAATAACATGGACAGATCAACCGGAAACTTCATGGATCAGGGAGGTCATAACATAGGCTGAGCAGTTTGAGATACAGAAAAACTTTATTTGTAGCACACTGGTATCCCTAATACCACTTCACTGAGGCCCATTCGCTTTTCGGTAAGTTACTTACCCGGGTAAATGCACTTACTCAGATAAGTGTTTCCCAAGGAAAGACTTACCTGAGTAAGTGCATTTACCCATGTTCTTTTATTTCGCATGTAAATAAGGCATGACCATTTTAGCTATAAAATTTCATTATTAAAAAGGGGATTTTTGCCCCATTCAAGTGTTGGCAAGTTTCCCCCCAGGTGGGAAAGTTATTTACCCACCTAGGAAGCTAGGAGATGGATATCACTTACCTGGGTAAGTGATACCAGGAAAATAAACTTTCCCTGGTTCCCACATAAATCTGAAAAGAGAACATAGGTTTCTTGGTCAATGGGAATTTCCCATTGACCAACTTTCCCCCTCTCAAAATCCAAAAAAAGAACGCCCCCTGAATTGCATGTGAATGGTGACTAAAAGTAACCTGCTAAAAGAGGAAATGATTGACACTGATTGACCCATCTAGGGGTGTCCATAAGAAACCGAAAAACCGGTCCGAACCAAAGAAACCGATCCGAAAAATCCGGTTAACCAAACTGGCCAGTTTGGTTTCGGATTTAAAAAAAAAAAAAAAACAAAGGATCGGTTCAGTTTTCAGTCAACCTATAAAAAAACTGACGGTTAACCAAACTGACCGATATATATATATTATTATATTTTTATTTTATTTTAATATGTTTCCACCCCAACGGCCCAGCCCCCAACACCCCTCTCTCTCGGCCCAAGCCCAAAAAAAATGAAAAACAAATATTTCTATCAAACATTTGAACCCAGGCCAAAACCAAAACCCTCTGGCCTCTTATTCTTGTTTGAACAGCAGAAGCCAGAAACCCTAGCAATTGTCACCACTCCTCTCCCATCGTTGTCGCTGTCGTCCATCGGCCAATTCTTTTTCTCCTCTGCCGCTGTCGCCATCGTCTGGTCCGGTTATCTACTTATCTTTTTTCTTGTTTCTGAAGGAAGACAAGAACAGATCAACAGACAGAAACCGAACCATTTCTCCTCTCCCGTCACCGCCGTCGTCGTCGTCCAGTTCTCTTTCTCCCCCATTCTTCTCATTCTCCTTCTCCGAGTCTCTGCTCTGGGCTCTGGTTTTCTTCTCCCTTACAGTTATTTTTGTTATTTTCTCCGAATCTGAATATGAATCCTTGTTATTTTGGTTATTTTAAATAGGAAACATTTTTTAATAAAAATGAAAAAAAAAACAGAAACCGAAGACTGGTTAACCGCTTGTTTCAGTTCGGTTTTGGTTCGGACTGATACAAAAACCGGTGGTACAGGTTCGGTTTGCAAAATATGCCCATGGTTCGGTTAACCCCCAACCCTGGTGGTGGCAGGATTTGATCCCAGGCCTCTGCTACAAACAAGTCAGAGATCCTACCAACTGAACCACCATAGGTTGGTGATGAACTGCACAATTTGGTACTCATACCAAGTCTGACAATTTTGACGAAGCTTAAAAAAAATAAAATACAACATGAAACAGAACTCCAAATTTTGCAAATGTAACATTCAGTGGCATGTACCCTATATTCAAAATTCAATATTTAATGATAGAATATGGTAGAAATGCAAGGGAAATTTGGTGTCAATATCCAAACACAGATACAATGTGCCCAATATGGAAATCCATAAAACCTTAGACAAATCCGATTATCATAGTCAACTAAAGACCAAGAATTAGACAACCTACCAAACCTGATTCAATTAGAAGAGCTACTAAAAACTAAGCAAAATCTAAAATGTTACAACAATGACACAATTACTACCAAACAGGGTTCTAATTTTTTGGCTGCATATTTCCAGCTCCTCATCTCTATCAAATGCAAGGCTCTGCAGTATGTCTCTTTTTTTTATTATTAACCTTAAATAAGTAATATATGTGTGCAAGATCAAAACAGCACAAGAATTTCATCAATGATTTGATTTGCTTGTAAAGAGCAGAAGCAAATGGTACAACAACACAAACACTTAGGTTTGCAAGATCAAAACAGCACAAGAATCTAATCAATGATTTGATTTGCTTGTAAAGAGCAGAAGCAAACGGTACAACAACACAAACACTTAGGTGGCTCTCTTTCTTCCCCTGATTCTGTATCAACAAGTCCTTCAGACCCTCTCTCTAATTGGATCAGCCTTTTGCAAAGGCCAATATCCAACTCTTAGTCTCTTACAAGCTGTAACTGAGCTATTTTAACCCAGGTGGTACATATTATGGGGCAGTAAACAGAGTAGAAAATAAAAATACCATTTCCAACACAACGAATAGAAGATGAAAGCAAATGCTAATGTTGCCAATATTGATTAAAAAAATGCTAATGTTGCCACCATACAGTCAATAAACACCCGGAGATTGGAGTTGGGATGAATAAAGTAATCACTAGCTTAGAGACTCAGACCAATCGAAACAAAAGTAGAAATTACCATTATTTACCCAGAGTGAAGCACCTCTATAACCAAAATGTCAACGTATCACAACTCCAGTTGTAATATTAACACAATTGCCTAAAATATGTACACACCTTATTCATTCATTTAAGGGATACATAATTGGCTGAACGAAAAAGTCTATACGTGATTTATCATCTCCCTAGTCCCCAAATGAGATGAGTTGAATGAAAAGACATAATAAGATGCTCCCTGAAAGATAAATACACGTAACATCCTATGGTCCTGGCCTGCCTAACAGACAATAGCGTAAGAATAGCAAAAAATCGAGCGTCATTTGCTTACCGCTTCTTGTGGCGTTTCGTTCTGAAATGCTCATCCCTCACAGTCACGTTCGCAAAGTACCGGCTGAAGAGAGAAAGAGAGAGAGAACATTAGGAAACCAAAACCCAATAAAGGAAGCCCATATGGAAAGTCGGTGAATGGGTAAATCCGTCTTACTCGCAGTGTAAACAGTAGTACTGCCCCATCCCTGGAAGATCTTCATCCTGGGGCAGGGGCTTCCTCTCCTCATCTGGCTTCCGAAGCTGTTCGTATACAGCATCATCGCGTGATCGAAACTAGTTAAGGAAATTTTTAAATCTAGAAAACGAAAGTTCCATAGCAAACGGTGAAATACGGAGCAACTGAAGAACGGAAGAAATAACAGAAAATAGAAAAGGATATCTTTGAGAAGGAACTTCGCTCGGCGAGATGACTTGTGAGAAAACCTTCTCTTCTTCACTTTCCGGTGAGGACATTTGCCACCCATTATCGAATCTTAATTTTCTCGACGACTCTCAATCTGTAAGAGAATAAACGAGTGCCTGTGTTTCTGGTATCAAGCTCGGGCTACGCCGGATTCATTGAAACCCTAGGCGAACGTTTATACGATCTTAGGCGGCGGGTGGGGACAAAGGACCTGTAATTTGTAAGAAGTTGTTAAAATAGCTACCAATAGTTAATGGGCTCCAAAAGAAGGGCCTCATCACCATACTTGTGGGCCGTGGGCCAAAATTAAAATCTAAAATGGAAATTAGATCCTGCTCCAGACAAACGGGCCTTCCACCAAAGTCACCACTGACGTGCATGCGAACAATTCCCATGAGGCTCAGTTTGGAAAGAGTATAAATACAAAAATATGTGCGGTATAAATACATACAAAATACTAAGGGTGTCAATTGGACTGGATTTGGTCCAATGCGGTCCAGTCCAATGTGAGTTCATTACAAATTGATCAGGTTCAAACCAATCCAATAAATTTTTTGGACCGGTCTAATTCAATGTCTGGACCATCTAATCTATTCAAATTTGTATTAATTTAAATTAATTCTAATCCAAATCTGGTCCATTGATACCTATATTCTTATCTTCTATCAATGGACTAGATATTGGCTCAATCCAACCCAATCCAATATAAATTCATTATGGATGAACCAGGCCCAATCCAATCCAATAAATAGACCATTAAGTCTGGATTGGTCCAATTCAATGTCTTGCTAGTCCATTCATTGAGGTTGGTGTGCATTGAGAACATCTTCCTATGAATAAAATCTTACAATTACGGAGATGTTCCAAATGCACAGCTGAAACGTGTTGTTAGGTTGGTGTGAGGCACGTTCTGTGAGGATAGGATCTGAACTTCACACCCCCAACCCCTATATGTAATGTAATAAATGATTGAAATGTCTTAAAATAAAATCCATCTAGAGTCTCACCATATAGCAAAATACGTGATTGGTTGAACGTGAAGATAAATATACTTATGAGATCTGGATTTAACATGAAGCCAAATTTTGCTAACAATACATCAATGCCACAATGTAGAACATCTGATAGAGGTGTAGAGTTTCAAACACACCACACTTTGACACCCCCTTTGGGATGCCCTTCATTTTGGATATGTTGTGTCCTCATTCCTCAATGCTTTAGCTATAGCTCGAACTTGATAGCCCAGATAAAGCATTTAGAGCTGAATCGGGACTAGTACCAGGAAGGGAAAAAAATTAGAAAGAATCCCATTATCTAAGCACCAGGCTGAAGCAGTTGAATCTTGGCTTAGGTCAAGTGTTTATAAAGCTGGATCAAACTGAGACCGGATCTGCTTCTCACAGAGGGCGCCTCAAACTCGCCTCACACACACATGCATTGGGAACATCTCCCGTACTCTTAAGTTATTCTTCACGAGAGATGTTTCCAATGCACGGTGAATGTGCATATGAGGCGCTCAAGTATGAGGAGCAGACCCCGTCTCAACTCCAGACTGGGACAAATATTTTATGAAATAGGTAGTCAGAGTTGTGAAGAGCGGCTTGAAAACAAGCTATCTTTGGCATCGATCAAATCCGAGCCCGGCTCTCCTGCCAACGAGAACCCTGCCCACGTTTATCACAGCCACACATGGAGAACATCTCATCTTATGCAGAGAGAGATGTTCCCAATTCACAGGGGGTGGTGTATTGTGTGCAGGCGTGGCCAGGAGATCCGGAATCATCAAATCCTTATAAAAAAGCAGCCCAATGCACAAAGCTCCCGCCAATGCAGGATCTGGAGAGAAGCAGATGTATGCTGCTTTACCCCTGTGCACAACAGAGAGGTTGTTTTCGAGCCCTGATCACCCAAGTTGCAACGGAGGGAAACTTATGGTCGTGTCTTAAACTAAGAAACATGTTAGATTAGATAGCAACAGCCACAACATATTTAAAACATCAATGTGGAAGAAAATGAAAAATATATAGACTTGGAATATATGAGGATGCAGTTGTTTACCCATTGTGCCATTGCAACCTTTTTTTTTTTTTTGATAGGCCATTTGCAACATCAAAATATAACCACCCAGCCAAAATTAGCCACAAAATAAAAGGAAAAAATGAGAATCAGTGGCACATAAAGATATTAATTACACAAGACACTGAAGCCCACAGACGGGGGAAATAACTTAAAACATGGTATAGAATTTACAAATTCAAAAGAATCAAAAGCCTCTTCAGAGATGGGAAAATTGTGAAAATATGTGAAGTGCAGTGGTGGTGCCAAACCACTGAATCAAGTTTGATTAACATGGTAAATAAAAACAAACTATAACTTCCTCGCAAGAAGAGTTTGGGAGATTTCTCTTACAACCACTTGTGCAAGGAAATCGATCATGGAGATCCAAAACTAAGCCTTCTAGAAACACATTATTTTCCAAAATCATAACCCTAACCCTGCCAAATTCAGTGACAACAAACCTGTGAGATTATAGAAATTGGGAAAAGAACTATTCAAACTAATATGAAAAGCATAACTATTACATACCTGTATGCTTACCATCGAGGAAGTGAGCATTTTTAGATGACTTAAAAGTTTCCAAGAAAACTTCTGCTTTATGTAACTCTTCCTTCTGCCTTGATTCGTTCCATTTGTGTTCAGTGGCCAGTATTTGAATTATGCGTGGCAATGCTCTACCTGCTGCATCAGTGTCCAGAAATGCAAGCCTAGATCTCCTAGAAACAAAATCAACAGCAGACTCACAGTACTCATGCCGGGCACAGTATGCAACCTCGGCTTCCAAAAAAGGATATCCATGGGCAAGCCGCTTCCCAAGATTTTCATTCTAGAAAGTCAAATGAGAAAATTGGATTTACAAATCTAGGCCATGGAATTATTATATTTCTAAATTGCTCTATTTATTAAGATTTATGAGACCATAATCCATCATTAGTAAGTGTTAGATCCAGGAAAATCTGTAGATGAAACACCCATTGTTTAACCCATTAGAAAAAAAATCAATCTTTTAGCGTAGGTGAATCGTTATCTTGGAGATAGATAACTTAATAATATCATACAATAATTACCTGCTTTAATTTCTTCCTTTGTTTTTGTTATTTGAAGTTCCCAGACTATTTTGCATTGAATGACCTGCCTAGGGCTGGATTTGACTGACCAGAACTTTTAAATTATAATCATCAATGTTTTAAAAACCGACCCGGAACCAGAACCACTTTAGCCACCGGATTCCGGGTCAGTGGTTCATTGTCCGGATCAGCAGGTTACTGACCAGCCAACGGCTTTTGGCAAAGGAACGGTTCAGGGGTGAAACAGAACCAGTTGCCTGGATGGTTTCCAGGCTGAAGGTCTGACTATCTGGGTGAATGATGGTTGGAAAACCATGATAATGATAGTTTAAAATATTTACTCACTTTATCAAAACCCATGATATACAATGGAAGTCATGATAACAGAATCAATCACTTTTTGCCCAAATAAGTCACAAAGGAAATCTGTAAAATTTTGTTCTGCAACTAACAATAAAAAGAACAAAGCTTAGAGAAAAATCAAACCTGAGCTATGGCAGCCACTCGTTCAGCTAAAGTTCCATAAGCATGAGATAAATGTTTGGCTGCAGCACTGTCCATTACCCCTGGAACAACCTCACCATTATTTGCTTTCTTCATTCGAACATATTGTTGAGCAAGCACTGTAAATGAAGCAGGATCCCAACCATCTCCCCCAACAATTCGCAGGTGGTTAGTCAAACAGCCATTGGTTGGGCTCAATTTGCCAGATTTTATAGCTGCATTGACCGCATCTTCTGCCATGCTGGAATTGGTTTTAGTAAGTACAATACCAAAAGGATTGAAAAAGGTACATACATGTGCTGAGTTAATGGACCTAAATACTGACTTGAACTGAAGGAAGAAAGAAAAATGCAAATTCAATCTAATGATTTACTTTTATTAACTTACAGAAATACTTTCCATTTTCAAGCAATACAATCTCTGGTGATATTTCTAGTGTTGAACAGTAATTCCGGTTAAACACAATGGGCCAAGCCTCAAGCAAAAAAGTCTCCCCATGTTGTGGAAATTTGCTCAAAATGAAAGACATCCACCCAGAATTCTAGGGAAAAATAAACATTCTATCCAAATGAAAATTACCTTCTGTATGTAGTCCATTTTCCACCTGTAATTGTGATTAATCCAGGGTAATCTTCACACACAACATGATCCCTAGAAATGCTCTCAGTGTTCTTTGCTGAAGGGTCCATCGCTAATGGTCGAATACCACTCCAAGCAGAGAGAACATCTGTGCGGCGTACCTGAATATAGATAATAGGAGAAAATCATGTTAGAATAATTTTTTTCATGAGTGGGGGACAAATGGACAAAATTGGAAGCTACAATGATCGAGTTACTAATCAAGCATTTTCTAATGTAAATACATTTCACATTTTCAATAACATTGCTAAGCCTGGGATTGCATGGTTTACAAGTATCAACATGTATCGAACAATTCAACATTGCAGTCACAAGGGATAGTCAGAGATTGATACAACAACAGATAGGCAAGGAATTGCTACAAGGAAAACTAGAAAGAAAAGATAAGTTCCTGGCAGAGGAAGGTTTCAAGATAAGGATTGTTATACCTTGGCTGAGGTACACATGGGTAATGGAAACTAGATGGATGCCTTTTAGAAGACAAAATAGATAGATGCTTTAAAACAGTTTCCTGCCAGACAACTATGCTCTAGGATGGGAAAGAAAGCAGCAATACTAAGAGCTCCAGGAAGAAGCTTGCAACAGAATAAATTAAACTAAATATTAATAAATTCAATAAAAGCTTGAAGTTTTATTACCAAAACCAAAATTAGAGTGCAAAAATAACAATAGTGCCATATTTAAAGGAATGGTTATGGTCATCCATCATACTGGATAGAATAACAGAAAAGGGTGCACCATGATCTGTCCTAGCTATGGAGGAATGCAAATTTCTGTTTTATGACATAAAATACTCTTATAGGCAAAAGGATATAGCTAGCATGAGACTCAAACCTTAACATTAAGGTAATCACAGATGGCATCCAGTATGAATTGTATCTCACTTTCACGTGGTTCTGGAAGCATTGTAATTGTAGTGCTAGAATCTGTTGTTCCTGCAATTGTTCTTCCCAACCATGGCAGCATGAAAACAACACGGCCATCCTTGGTTTTTGGAACAATTAAGCCCATTCCTTCTGGAGAATAATAATCAGGAAGAACAATGTGAACCCCACTGCTAGGACAGATCATGGACTGTGCACCCTTGTCTGCGAGCTTCCTCACAGAGTCACAAAATGGCCCAGCGGCATTAACAACAACTTTTGCATATGTATCAAACTCCTTGCCTGATGAACTTGGACAGATCGTAAGAAACATAACAAGTAAAACAAAGCATTTTAGTGATCTAGCTACACACAGACTTGCTATATAGGAAGGAAAATTGCAAGTTGCAACGTAGTATTACTTGAGTTTGCAATGTACAGAGCAGGTCAGACCTCAGTTTCATTTGCTGAAATCCATAATTTACCAGAGATTTAAATAATTGAAAAGAATGTGTATTCCTATCCTGTAATATGCAAAAACTTACTGATATCCCATGCAGACTCCATTCCATATGATCTTAAAAAGGTAGATCAACTTGGAACCTCTGGACATGGTGACTTCAAACTCTATCTGGAGCAGCCAGAATGCTCCAAATACAACATATTTCATGCACCATTATTTTGGTTTCAAGAAGGGGGGGGGATGAGTAAGGGGTTGGAGGAACATCATGGATGAAAATAAAGCAAACAGTGGCCAAGAGAATTGAAAAAATAACAAAAGCAAAGATCATAAATCATAATATCAGTATCCCCAAGATAGGTATATTACTGTACCATTGTACCATTGTGAGCAATATATTTTTCATTGTTTTTTTTCCTGATAGATAAAAAGAGGATATTATTAATATCAAGAAAAACAAGTATCACAAGCAGCCCTTGGAGAGGTGTGAACTGCGACCTCTCCTAACCAGGAAACTAAACTAACTGGAAAAACATAGCACAGCTGGAAAAAAAAACAAATCACAATTGAGCCCATTACAATTGATCCCTGTTTGCCCCTTGCTTGGCTAAGTAATCAGACATAGTATTATCTGATCTCCCCACCCATTGTAATCTCAAATTCATATTTCTTGCTAACCACTTGAATTTCTCGATTTCATCCCTGTAGCACCAAGAAATAAACACCAGATCCTTCAACCAACCCACCACCACTGACCACCTTAGAATCACCTTCAATCACCAAATTCTCCACACTTAATTCATTTGCAATCTGGGTTCCTTGTAAGGCAGCGAATAATTCAGCCCTTATTGAGTCTCCTACTCCCACAGGACCCGACAATAAGGCCATAACATCACCATCCTTATCTCTAAGAAGCCCTCCAGTGCCAAAGGAACTTGGGTTGCCCTAATTACTCCCATCAGACTTCAGCTTCAAGTATCCTTTAGGAGGAGTCCAGATCAAATTTATCGTGTCCTTGGAAGAGATGTTTGTCACCACCGACCAATTCCTTCAAATATCATCAAAGGAGAATTGGTGAAAATTGTCCAAAGTCTTTAGCCAATGTATTACCCTAGTCATCACACAGTCCCAAACTTGTTCTCTACTCTCCACTTGGAAGGTTCTTGCATTTCTTTCTTTCAAAATGGTCCATTCACCTATGCTCTAGTACACCACCACATTACCCTTCCCCTTTTATTGGGCAAAAAAAAAGGTTGATGTTACTTCTGTTGGCAAATTCCACCTGCACCCAAACAAAGAAAAGAACCAATCCCAAATAGTTGCAGCAAAAGGACAAAAGATTAGTAAGTGTTTACTTTCAAGGTGCTTTATACATTTTCCAAAGTGTTTACTTTCCCATAGAATGCTTCCTAGCAGTAAGTATTGATTTTAGGGGGGACAGGCCTGCACACCTCCTTGGCAGGGAAAAACAGAGGATTTAGAGACTAACATAGGGACTTAAAAAAGAAAACACAAGAAAAGGAGCCCTTAGGGTGTGGGAACCAAATACACCAGTCTTGTTTAGGGGATTCCAAACAAACATTACCAAGAGAAGACAAAAGCCCAATCACTGAAGCAGACTCCCCATCCCTCAACCCTCTACAAAAACCAAAATCTCAACTCAAAACTATGGGAGAAACAAAGAGGTGTAAGGAATGAGGAAACAACCTTTTTTATACAAAGAAATAGAGTACACAGAAGGGTAAAGATCCTTAGGCTCGATTTGGAAAGAGTACGAATACAAATATGTACAGTGCAAATACATACAAAATAACACAAAATACAAGGTTTTGTACTCTACATATTTGTATTTGTACTCCTTCCAAATTGAGCCTTAAGAACAACATTACCAACCCAAATAATCTCCCAAAAACAAACAAAAAAAATTCCTTGAATGCACATCATACTTGATAAATTGGAGAAATTGAGAAAGAATACTATGATAACCTTCCAAGGTGCTTCCAACGGAACCCAACATGATACACCACCACATGCCACAATCTCTTCCTCTCCAAAAAGGCCCCTTGAAATTGACTAATTATAGATGGGAGTATTGACTTAATTCTCAAAGACAATAATACCTTATCTAGAATTTCATAAATGTTGGTCACCAAACTAATTTGTCTATAATCCTTTGGGTGCTTAGCATCAATCAGTCTTCTTCAGAATGAGAGCTAAAAAGTGGCATTTACTCTACGACTAATTATGTGCTTCTCTACAAATTCCGTAAAAACCTTAATAAAGATCCTTTTTCAACACTTCCTGGTAATCCTAATCAAGGTTCAAAGTATCGATACAAGCTGATAAGCCGGTAAGGCGTATCGGCCTCTATTGGTTTTTTTTGTGTTTTTTTATTTTTTTTTTCGAATTTGGTTCAGAGGGGTCAGTTTAAGGCCCGACTACCCTTTGAACCATGGTCTAACCCGAAACACCCCCTGTAGGGGCATATCAGGAAGGCCACAATACGATACGTATCAGCCGATACTGGCCGATACGTAACGATATTTTGAACCTTGATCCTGATAAAAAGCCATTGTAAAACCAAATGGACCTAGGGCTTTAGATCTATTCTTAGAAAATGTTGCTTGCCTAATATCCTCTTCTTCAAAGTTCAAATTCTCTCCCCAACCACCTTGACGCATTGACATTTAACCTTTACCAATCTAAACCTTCATTGTTATTAATGTGGTGAGGCATGGGTAGTCAATTAGACTTCCCTAGTCAATGCAATGAATAATTGGCACTTGGATAATAAAACTAGTAACTCTGCCAATGTGAACTCGTCTTACATTGCTGATCCCAAGCTTGGATAAAGGAGGGTTCCATTAGGTTGGCAACCGGCACTAAATGCTAGGGTTTCTCCAGAAACGGCATGGTGCACTCTAACCCGAGTGCAGTGTTAAGCGGGAAAGGGTTTGTTAGAATGGTCCTCAGCAACGCCTGATTGTGGTGTCAAATAGGCAAGGATTCCCACATCATTCTGGACAAGAGTGGGTAAAGAAGCTAGTCTAAGAAACATGACTTCATTTAACCACTTGGAATATAGGAACATTAACAAGAAAAACTATGGAATTAGTAGACACTATGAAGAGGAGAAGGGTTAATACTGCATACCTACAAAAAAACTAAATGAAAGGGTAAAAATGCTAAAGAAATTGATAGCTACAAATTATGGTATACGGAAGAAGTGAATGGTAGAAAACTGTGTAGCAATAGTAGTAGATAAGGATTTAAAAATGAAATTGTAAATGTTAAAAGAATTGGGGATAGAATAATTTTAATTAGACTTGTTTTAGGTTAATAAAATTAGTCAACCATAGGAAAAGATATGTTCTAAATCCAAGGCATGGATGCAATCTCATATAGGAGTAAATATAGATTGCAAATATGTAATAAAAGATCAAAATAAAACATTTATTTACAATCTTTGTTTAACAAATATAAAATAGGAAGATTGGCTGGTCTAAAATAGAGAGGTCCAGCCTTTTTGTTCAAAAAAAGAATGCACCCTTGACTATTCCATGTGCTGCCTTATTTGTGGCAAGTCCTTACCAGCACACTACGTATTGGAAGAAAACTTAAGAACTCACAGTCTTCCTTTATTATGTGCCTTATTTCAATTTATATACCATAAGAAATGTTTAAAGCAACTAGCAAACATATAACAAAATAAAAGCACATATGATAGCATTTTAAATAATTAGAGTTCAACCTAAAGAGATAAAGCTTTGAGAAAACTTTATAGTTAACAAATTATAGATTAGTCAATGGTTAATCACCCCAAGTGACTACATAATGAGTAACGACCACCTAAATGAAGCAGTCAGCGTGGTCCTCAAATAATTAGCTGGTCAACTAGTTGATACTCAGAAAACAATGATATTTTTCCTATAAAAAGTTCATAGGTGACAAATATAACATCCTTTAACTCCTTGTGCACATTATATGGTGCATTCATAAAAATAAAAGAAGAAAATTTGAATTGATTACATAAATAAGTTCAGTTGATTTATCATTTAATTTACAAGCTTAAAATACGGAGTAGTTATTGCAACATGTAAAGTAATAAACTACAGTAGCTCATAATAGTGTTTGTAAAAATATGACCATGATACCTGTCAGTTTGTTTCGGATATGAACACCAACTATCCGTTCCGTAACATCATCCTTAAGAAAATCTATCACTTCTGCATGGTTAAGAACTGCTGCACCCGCCAATGCAGCAGTGCATGCCAGTCCAACATTAAGTCGGGAGTCATTCATCTGTCCATCATAGTACACAACTGTACCCTTCAAGCTTTTGTCATTACCCTTCCTGGCAAGAGTTGGAAAGAGTTCAATTGATTCTTGTGCAGAGTAATATCGAGAAAGATGTAGAAGGTGTCTTGCTGCAACCAGATCATATAGTTTCAACCCCATCCAATAGTACACTACTTCATACCAGTCAAAACATGGTGTCATGCATGGCAAGGCTTGACACAAGTGGGGAGCATTTTCAATAACTTGTTTACGTTCCTTGAGTGCATGGAAAACCAACCTCAGTTGCCCATAGTCAAAGTTAAAAACAGCTTTCTCCAAATAGCGAACCCCTATAAAAATTCAACAAACTATATGTACTGAATAAAAAAATCAAATCCCATTCCAAAGAACTACACCAACAAGCTAAATATATGATTTGGATAATGTAAATTCCTAGGATTTTTGGTCATCGTATTGCTACTTTCACTGTCGTGAAGCATTATCAGCCACCCAATCCAATCTTACTTAACATTCTGAAACTAGCTATGCCAGAAAAAAAGTAAATCTATATCAGCAAAAACACATACTGATAAACCAAAAATACAAAACGGAGTTGTACAACATCAAAAGAAATTATATAGAAAAATAGTCACAGAATGATGTCTATACGTAAAACTTAAGCTTCAATCAGGTGGAATTCCAGAATGCCCTGAATGTCTTTAACATCATAAAGCAAGAGTCCACATGCTTTTGGTGTAAACCTAGTCCAGGAACTTATGATTACTACTATTCAATTAGAAAGTATGTTGACACTACAATTTCTGCAAATAGACCCAATGAACATGCTTGTATCTAATGCTCCAACGCTACTAAATGCTGACCCTGTTTTGTAAGGCAACTGAATTTCGACTTGCCTCTTAAATTATAACACTTCTCTTTTTCTTATTTTATTAATAAATAGGATAACATATTAACATTAGTTTAATAAAAAGAGCCCTTCCTTTTCCAGAAGCAATCATGAAAGCATGCATTACTCATATGATTATTATCATTTTTTGAGGATCTAGAGACACCATTTTAGTGGTCAAACCTTCCAAGCCAAATTGATCTCCTATAACACATGAGATCCATTTCATATGTGCAACCCAAGATTACTAGCATAAAAAGGAGTAAGAATAAATCTCCTATGTGGTCCAACAATCCAAAACAAGTGGTGCATCCATCTAGTTGCATAAACAGCCTACAGCCCCTACACTAGATCTGAATACACAATAAATAGTTCAATCACATAAGGACCAGCCAAAGGGACATCTGCATGGAAAATTGGAACCACTGGCTTGAAAAATCACGGCCCAATATATATTTTCACCCTTGATTTTCAGGAAGGAAAAAAAAAAGAAACTACCTTATTAGCCACTTGTTGCTCAGTAACTTATGTCCATTGAGTTTTGCAAAAAGAAAAGAATTTTTGGATGATATGCAAGCCTCCAATTAGGCCCAAATTTCAAATACCATAATTCCATATTGTCATTTCTGATCTACCATGAAGCCATGCACCCATGAAGGGCTCACCCACGGATGACCCAATCAGTGCTCAAGGTCCATCAATATGACACTTTGGATGAAAGGAATGCATTAGTTTCATACAAGTTTCAATGCTTACCAATTTCCATTTAGTTTGCTACTTTACTACAACTTCTAGTCTACAACCTGTTTGCTAGGAATATTGCCAATTGTAAATTGTAATTTAATTATTTAAGTTGCCATGGTTATATAGTTTATAAATTTTAATAAAAATTCTAAAAGTATAATATTATGTATTTGGGGTGTGTCTAAGAACCCATTTTTTGGGCTTACCAATTCAAACTCCAGAAAATGCTTCAGATTTCAATTCCTGCATCTGAGTCCAGGCAACACTGCAGTTCTGCTTTTATTTATTATTTTTAGGTATCATTTTCCAATACTTGTATCATAACAAATTCCATGAGATGAAATATTCATGAAGTACCTTATAGTAAAATTCACTATAAGGAATCTTCCACGTGATGAGATAAGCTATTGATGTTCTGATTTAGTGAAGAAAGCTAAAATACAAGGAATCTTCCACGTGAAAACTTGTTTGGGCTCAAAATGGGCCCAGACATTCCTCTTGCTACCATCTATTAATAGGACAAATTCGAGCTCAAAAACCTTTGCTATGTGGCTAAAATAAGTCCATTTTTTGGGCAATTTAATATTAGAATATTAAAATTTCAAACAGCCAATTTGACTTGGGAAAGTACTGATAAAATATGATGTACAGTGGTGGTGTTGGCTGGAGGATTGAACAGGTGGCCAATCCAAATGGCCCCATATTTGTTGGATGGTTCACAATAGCCAATTCATCCCTTCATAAGGAAGAAATATGGTAGGCTGTGCAAATCTTGGATGCCAAAGCCTTTGTTTTCCCTTATCAGGTATCTAAGGAGCCAAGGACCTTCTGTCCTCGAAGATAGCCAATCATTACTACCTGCCAGTCTCCTTCAACAATCAGGTCAGTCCAGCCTATAAACCCTGGAGGAGGGTGAGTAATTCAGCACTTCAGCTCTCAAGGGATTTCCCTCAGCCACTGGCCCTGAACAACTAAGCATGATACTTCTTGCCTGACCTCTAAAATGCCACCAACCCACTGAAGGAGGGAATCAAATCAACTTGAAGCTGGATATGCAGTTGTCTTTTATTTATTTATAAAGTACTTGCTTTTTCAGAATTTCTTAAAAGTTTCCATGAGATATAAATGATGTTTTCTGCACGGTGGAAGAAAGGCATGCGTGAGTAGTGGATGCCCTAGAAGACAATAAAAGGTTTGGATTAGTGGATATTACAGCTATATATATAAAATGTATGTTACCAGCTAAGAAGTTTACGCTTCAGATTGAGAACCCCAAACAGGCCCAACCTCATGTATAACAACTTAGAAAGCGGATTTTTGAACTTCAATTCTGGTGCCCTACTGCATTTCCCAGCATACAGGAGATGTTAGAGATGAAAAGCACAAAATCTTTAAGGCCTTCTAAGGCCTAACATGTGAAGCAGACTCTAGACTCTAAAGAGATGGAAGTGAGGACAATGTTGATGTAAATTGATCTTTTCATATCAATGCATGAGCATAAATTGTGGTACCTATAAAAAGAAGAACATAAATTGTGGAAAAGATATCATTTTAAAGAAAGATATGGTCTGAGAAAGATATGAAGTGAATGAAATTTTTTATCCATCCCAAAGTATTTAGGATAGGGCTGGTTGAGTTGAGTCAAAATTGATTTATGCGAATCAAACTCTTAGAGTTCACACTATCGTACAGAGCAGGTAGATCATTTTTCTGATGACGTAGATCCTAAGGCAAAAAAGGGGCACTTTTTGACCTTAAACTGTACATAATAATGTTTTGTTCATAGAGAATTGGGTTCCCTTCCCTGATGTTGGCATGTTGCATCTATTTTTTTACAAGTTCCTTTGGAAATTTTCAAAAAGATATGGAATGACCAAATTTTGCACTACAGTTGCAGCAACTTTAATGGATATTTAACAATAGAAGAAAAATGGAAGGACAAAAGTGAAAGATAAAGAAAACACAAGGATAGGCCCTAGGAAAGGAGTCCTATTCAGTCATCAGTATCTTGAACACTGGACCAGACAAACAGATAGCTGAACTATTTTAACCATCACTGATTACGAAATTAAGGTCAGCTTCTGAACCATTGCCCTTGATTTGGTTTATATATAACAGTTTGGAAATGTTCAAGAGATAAATGTTTGTGTTAGGTCTATAAATTTACTTTTGTTATTTTTATCTCTCTGCTAGTTTTTTTTTTCTTTCCTGGTTTTTGTTTTCAAAGTTTAAACAATTAGAATCAGACAGTTGAACAAGCTGCAAACTGCCAATGCAATGGTCTGATATTTGGTGCAAGTTTAACATTGGTCCTACCAACCGATAGAGAACAGAGTCTGACCATTGTAATGAAGAGTCTCACTTCTTGAGAAATTGCAAAACAGGTTGTAGAGAGCTTCTGAAATATGAATATGAAACAAATAAATGTCTTGCATAAATATTTTGCACTAGGACCAAAAGCATCCAAGAACCAACAACTTGAATTGTAAGACCCAATGAACTCCAAAGTCCAGACAAATAAAGAAAATGGGACTACAAACTTTACAGAGAAATTTTAAATGATTAGGAGGGATTAACTATTTCTGCATTTTGCAAAGAAAGGGACATAATAGTAAGATGATATCATCAAGGTCTTCATAATGTCATTCAATAACAAACCCAATGAGTACAATGAATAGCCATAGTATCCCACCCCTTGTGTCCTAGATTCATGAATCTAAGTTTAAAAAGGTTATATTTTCCAAAGAAAACAAATGATTCTGCGCCAATAAGACCAAGACATTTAATTCTGAATCAGCAAACTGATCAAATCATTGCTAAACAATTTCCTATGCTTTGTTTTTTGCTATTAATTCTTATGCTCTTCAGTCACTAATATCTATAGTTATAAACAGGACTAAAAAAATTGCTACAAAATATACTCGTAGAATTAAAGACGACTAGTTTTCTTTTTTCTCTAACAAAAATGCATTAGACCAGTTACAGTATCTAAATAATAAAAAAAAAGGAAGGGAAGTATACAAAAGAGGTAAAAAAAAAAAGAACTTTTTTCGCATTTTAGCAGATTCTGTCTTCCACCTTTTCATATCTGCGCATAAACTAAACCAGAAGAAGAACAATTTTACAAAAAAAAAAAAAAAGTAAAGTAAAAGCAACCAATGCATATTGTCTTATTGAAAAGAATAAAACCAAAGTTTGTTTTTTCTTACCCTTAAAATCAAATTCAAAATCGCAGACTAACAAACATCAGAACTTGCTAAATAATAAAAAGACAAGACGAAGAAGGTGATGAAGAAAATTAATTCAAATAATAATGCCAACGGCACTGTAGAATAGAAATTCATATATTAAACTATTATCCATGATCTTGACATCCTTCCTTTTCAGAATCAAAAACTTAGATGAGCGACCAGTAAGAATAACAAACACATTAAAAGAAGACTAGATATTTAATTAGAAAAGAAACAATACAACCAGAAGACTATCAAAAAGAAGCGACCAAGAGCCTTCACATACCACCATGAATTAGCTTGGTGGACCTGGAGGAAGTCCCCGACGAAAAATCTTCTCTCTCGACAAGCCCAACGTGGAGCCCCCTCGACGCGGCATCTAGCGCGACTCCACACCCGGTGGCGCCACCTCCGACAACAAGAACATCGAGAGGATTGACCGAACTGGCGGCCATCAAAACAGATTCTTGGACTTCCCTCGACGGGACAACAGCGTTAACGTCGTTGATCTTGCTACGAATACTGTAGATATTCCCTCGATCATTCTCGGACAGGACTGGATCCCTGAAACCCAATGCACCATAAGCTCCGGCAACCGCAACAATGGCAGCGCCGAAGCCCTTCAATCGAGTAGCGGTGGTCATGGAGGAAATTCTTGGGATTGCAAGACTCCGACTCGACTCTGTTTTTTTGCCGGGAACGGAAGCACTGCCACATTTCACGTTTTGTTTTTCCAAAGATTGCGTATACTATATTCAATGAATAGTAATGCCTTGTCAATTTACCAAAATGCCACGGCTCGTTCATGGATCTTGTTCTTTCCATTTATTATACCCGAACCATAACAACCTTTATTATTTTCCATTATTCATTTGTATTTTTTCTATAAACCATTGTGTATTTTCATAAATCCACCATAACCATTGCGAACAATTTTTTTTCTCGGTAAATTTTTTAATACCTCGATTTTCCGATTTATGAAAAATTAGTAAAATCGGTTAAAACCCGACATGCAATGAAACCACTAAAAAACGGTCGAATTTTCACAATCCACCTGGGTCATTAAATTACTATAAATTTTAAAATGATAATAGAAATATTTTCAACATTTTATTCCTTTGGACTTAGTGTGACTTTGCTCCTCAAATTTTAAAATGCGATAATTCATTATTTGAATTTTTACAATATATTAATTCATTATCTATCATTAACCAATTGTTAACCAATTGCTAAATGCCCTTGAAAAAGACATAAATACCTTTTAAGTATTATCTATTTTTTTTATCAACCATCCAAACATAAATAAAAAATTAACAGTTTTTACCTCTTTTATTTAAGAAAGTTGGGGTTTATAATGCCCATGAGATGTGTTCCCTTCTTAAATAAAAGAAGCAAGAATTTGGGATTATTAACTTTTTGTCAATATTTGTGTCTTTTTCAAACATTGACTGATTAATAACTGGTTAACAGCCTATTAACAATAAGTAATGAATTGACATGTTTTAAAAGTTTGAATACTGAATTATTGTATTTTAAAGTTCAAAGACCAAGTTAACAGTAATTACAAAGTACATGATACTAATCGGAAGTTTTTCCTAAGGCTATGTTTGGTTTAAAGGAAAAGGTAAGAAAAGGAAGAGAAAAGTAAAGAAACCCGTATAAGGCTTGTAAAAGTTTCCCTACTTTTTCCTTCAATCCAAACACAACCTAATTATATATATATATATATATATATATATGACTCGTGGTCAAACCTTTAAGCATTATATAACTTAATGAGGGAAATTTAGGCAATTCAATATTTCTGATCGTTTTATGTTTGTCCATATCCATTGCCGAATGGAGAGACTATCCGACAACAGGAACCAGGAAAACTTCGGTAATTACGTGCATTACGTGAATTGTTTGGCGCATGTAAAAGTACTTACGTGGATTGCCTCTAGGTTTTATGTTATTTGCTGGTTGCAAATAACGCTCCCTCTCTCTCTGCATGGCTCATGTGACAACGTGACGACAGAGGGGGCTGGGCTCTTTGGTCATTGGACATTGGAGCAACAGTCAAATTCGAAAGCGACGAACAAGATTGACCGGCCCTTTTTCATCTTATGTCATTTTGAGTTAGGAAACCTTAGAGCAAGTGTTTTTTTAGGGATTTTTAGACCTCAGAATTCAGATTTGAACTGCAAACTTACAATAATTCAAATTTATGAATATCTTTACGTATAACACTCATATCCCCCATGAATTAACATCAATTCCGAGTTAGCACTTAAGATGATAGAACGAAAATTTTAAAAGTGGACTGAACGGTCAAAACCCCCCCTTTTTTATTGCCCACTGGCACACAGGTAGTTTGGTTTGGTAGTAATCTTTTTTTCTTTTTTTCTTTTTTTTTTTTTGATAGATGGTTTGGTAGAGATTCACTTGTGCAGTCATGCTTATAGAGGTTTTTAATCGTTCTTTTCAAGATTGGCCTATTTGTATCTTTTGAAGGGCTATACAACGGGGGGCAGCCCATCCCCCAACCCAAGTGCAGGTGGGATTCAATCCCAAGTCTCACTATAACCAATAAGAGACTTTATCAATCAGCTAGTTGGCACTTTAAAAACTTGTTTGATTGATAGTAAAAAAAGCAAAAAAAAAAATGTAGGTAAATTGTATAAAAACACAAAAATTGCAGGAAAATAACAAAAACAACAGAAAATAAGAAAAAAATGTATAAAATTGCAAAAAAAACTACAAAACCCATGGGAAATTTGCAAAAAAAAAAAAACTAGAGAAAATTGCAGAACATAGCAAAAAATCATGGCATATTGCAGAAATTTTTCTGCATCCGCTAGCGAGAACACCACGTCATGTATGGACTTTAAGACTAACAGTGTCTAGACCTATTCATGGGCCGATCTAGCCCAGCCCATTCTAAGTCGGGCTTGGACATTATTTCAGGCCTGCAGGCTCGAGCTTTCTCAAAAAAGCCCAACCCGAGCTCAAACCCAACTTAATAATATATATTATATAATAAAAAAACATATTTTATTTAATAAAAAATATACATGCAATATTTTTTCTTTGTTTCTCTTTTTTTTAAGTGATAGTGAGATCTTTTATTATTTTTGAGTTTTGAGGGCTTTTAATATAAATAAAATATTTTTTACTGAATAAAAAAATATATGTTTTCAAATTTTTAGTCGGGCTTAGGCTTGGGCTCAGGTGTCAAGCTTTGTATGAGGGTGGGCTCGGGCTCAAAACCTAAGCTCGATGGTCGGGCCGGGCTCAGGCCTAAATGTACGCTGTTGATATATAGGCAAAGACCGGCCAAGTCCATGAAGAAGTCTAATGCTGTGCAAACTTAACGGGTGTCTGGGCTCCAAAGTTTTTTAGATCTTGTTAAAATGTAAAACCCGCCCAACCGCCATTCCCCTATCCTTTTCTCGCTCTCTCTCTCTACCTCTACTCTATCTCTCTCTCGATCTCGACTTGTCAATGGTTGCGCCACCGCTGCAACTTCCAACACCTGTTAAGTCCAAACTTTGGAAGCCTTTTAATCCTTGAGTCTTGTAGGGTTTATTTATTTAGGACCTCTTCTTCTCTCGAGTATCATTCTGTTATGGGCCCGCGAATAGGATCTCGTCACGGGTCGGTCTACGGGGGAAACTCTCTGTTTTCCCTTATTCCCCCCTGCTCTTGATGGACCTATCTAGGTGCCCTAATGGTGATTTGTTCAAGAGATCACCTAACTCTCCTTTACTTTCTTTCTTGACTGAATATTCGATATCCTTATTCAATAATGGTGTCTCCTTAAATAGGAGATTACAAGAGTCCTAATCTTAGGGAGTCTCCTTGYTGAATAGGGAGACTTCCAATTCTATCTTGCTAAGGATAAGATAAGCTAATCCTAATCT